AGCAGCAGCAGCAGCAGCAGCAGCAGCAGCAGCAGCAGCAGCAGCAGCAGCAGCAGCAGCACACCTCCGTGTCCATTTGAGAAGAGCCAGAGCTGTAGCTACAAAGACCCTCGCATGCACGTTAGAGTTTCAGCTAAAGTATTAAGAACACGTAGTGACCTCATGAGCAGAGCTGTGCTGAGCGTCAGTGGTTCCAAGACCCTAACCTTCTCGTTTTGTATTGATAACTTATAAATTTCTCCATTATAATGAATGTCTTTTGTGGGGGTTTGAATGAGAATGGTTGCTATAGGCTTATAAACTGCAAGCAAGTCCTCAATGAAATGTTTTCTGTTATAAGAGTTATCTTGATCATAGAGTCTCTTCAGGGCAATGGAACAGTGACTAAGACACCTTCTGTCTGAAGTGTACCAAGGACTTTGTGGGTACTCGTGTGTTCATGTCCATATGAATACCCATGGGCAAAATTGGGCTCATAAAATATTGATCTTCGAAAAAGAAATGTTTTAACTGCTTGGCATGGGATTTATCCTTCATGTCTAATACCCTGAGGAGGTAGAATTCTCAGGGCTATTCTCCATTCTGTGGGAAAGGATTATTTTGCAGAGCAAGATAAAGAACTGATAAAAGTAGATGAAGAATGCACCTCAGAGAACGACCACCAGAGCAAGCACCAGGGTCGAGGGGGGGATTTCAAGCTTATCCAATTCGTGAGGATCCATTTTTCCAGAAAAACTACATAGAACTACAAACATGAAGTTAGAAGTTCGGTGAAGTGGCCCATCACAATGAGAGTTGCTGAAGCTTTGCATATGATATCCTCACTATAAATATGTCTATTCAGTCAGAAGACATGGGATAGCTTACAGGAAACAAGCAGTAATAGGTGAAGAATCTTCTTCGCTTCTCGTGAATGAAAGGATTCCCCAACTAGACAGAACCACATGGTTACAATCATATCATGAACAATGTCTCTGAACTGACCAGTGCACGTCACTGCTCTGCTTCCTCTTTTGTTGCCATGGCAAAGATACCTGACACAAGCCATTTGACTAGAAAGGGTTTGTCCTGGTGTGTGTTCCAGACTACAGTTCACAATTCCAGGAGGTCAAGGGAGGAGCTTAACTCACATCCTCAGTAAATCAAAGCATGCATGTTCACACATTTGCCCGCTTGCTCTCAGAGGGACTTCTCCCCACTTCCATAGTTCAGGACTTCATTGTTATAGAGTGGTGCTGCTCACAGTGGTCACAAGTGCCCACATTAATTCAGAACATCCTCCAATGACAGGTGCACAACAACAACATGCAGACCATCCCACTGAGACTGTCTGCCCAATAGAAACAGTTACATCTATAGAAATGATAACATGCTTTAAAGATTTTTAAAATTTATTTATTCGTTTATGTATGTGCATTTCCTGGCAACAGTGTGGAGGTCAGAGGACAAGTTTCATGAACCAGTTCTCTCTGGGTTCTGGGGAAAGAACTTATGCCATGAGGCTTGGGCCCAAAAATCTTTACCTGCTGAAGAATGTACCAACCCCAGAAATCAAGAAATGTCTCTGGTCACATTAAGCCTGCATATAATGTCACCACCTCCAGCATTGAATTCCATTCCACTCTGCCTGAAATAGGTTAAGTGGTGCTCAAAACTGATTCATTCATTTTTGTGTTGTTAATTAAATTTTTAATTCAGTTTACAAAGTAATGGATTTCATTGTAGTATATATTTAGAAATAGAGAAAGAGAGAGAGAGAGAGAGAGAGAGAGAGAGAGAGAGAGAGAGAGAAAGTCATCTTTTGTTCTAATACACCTCACCTCGTCACCCTCTTCTATGTCCCTAAACATTAGATTTTTTTTGGTGGCTTCCTTTCCTTCTCCAGATAGTACCTCCATTTCTGCTTATGTCACATTTATTTCATTACATTCCCCTCATCTGTTTGTTTCTTAAGATATCTTTCTCCTCTACCTCTCCACACACACACACACACACACACACACACACACACACACACACACACACACATGTTGTAGGGAGACCACTTGTTTGTTTGTTCCTGGCTGCTCAAGGGGCCTTCTAATATATATATTAGATAACTATATAATATATATCTCTTTTACCATTGAGAATGTTTCTTCCTGAGGTGGGTGGGCTTATTAAATAATAATTTTCAGTTGCACTATTTTCTGTTGCAGATGTGATTTTATTTCTCTCTATGAATATGTGTGTATCTCTGCATATGACTTACACATCTTTGAGTATATACACCTGAGTGGTATATCTGGGGCACATCTTAGTACTATGTCCAGCTTTTCTCTATACCTTTATACTGATTTATACGGTGGCTGACCCAATTCACACTCCCATCAGCATCCACTTTTACTTCCTTTCTCGGTAGTAGTCAACAAATTTAACTGATATTCCAATCCAGGTTGACTGTTCTGTGGTTTCAGTGTCTGTCCTGCATTGCCTGTGGTGCTGCTATGAAAGAAAATAGCAAAGTAGAGAAGTGGTGACCAAGTGGTTCTTCAACGACTTGACACCAACATGACTTACACCCATGTGCTTAAATCCAGTTGGCCAGAACTTTCCACAGTGCTTTGTCATCTAAAACAAAAGGTCTCAATAAACAACTGCCCCAAGGGTGAGGCAAATGTACCCCCATGCAGATATATGCAAATATTATTTTTGAATAATCATCAATAGGAATCTATTTCAAATATCTTATATGTACAGTTAGCAATTTAAGATCAATGTCAGCTATATTTAATAATGAGTATAGTAGTTTTTGCATAGTACACAGTTTAGAATGTCTCATTTTCAACTAATTAATTGATGCAATAAGCATTGTTACTCACAGGGATTCCCACTCTTAAAAGAGGCAGAAACCAGAACAGAGGCTCCTGAAGCATGCAGCAAGAGTGCCCCACGGCCCAGCTCAGTACCTTGTCCTCCTGATCCCTCCTCAGATTTGATACTCTTGAATAAATTACCATCATTCTAAGTGTTTGTAATGTAACAGAGAAGCCAAATTAAAGAATCAGATACAACTATTCTTTGGACCAAAATACTTTTTAACAAATGAATTTTGAACCTGAGAAATGAATATAATGAAAACTCAGGTTGAGACCAAGAAACACTTGTTTGGTGACTACAGATACACATGTCGGTAGTGACAAAAGAAACTTAACAGGAACTAAACATTGTATTTTCTTTTAAGAGGGGAAATATCAAATTCTAATACAGAAGTTTCTATAATTCTTTTATTGATATTTATTTTAGGTGATATGGAAATTGCTTTTATCTTTTCAAGCATATTTTTCTACTGTTTGTTTATTTATTTTTAATAATATCGGCAGTTATACAATTTTATGAATTACTGATATTTTAAATAACTGTATTTTTATTCATTTTTTTAGTGCTAGGTTGTGCAACATTACTTGTTTGGTTAAAACACAGAGAGCCTTTGCTGTCTTTTAACTTTCAGTGATTGATGTCTGCCGCTGTCCGTTGTTGTTGTTGTTGTTGTTGTTCCAGAGTCTCACCAGACGGAAAAGGGTTCTCCAGATCCTGCCTTTTCCTTCTTCATGTAAACCAAGGTAGCACTTTGTTCTCCAGATTTACTGGGAGATAGAGATCACCCTCATTCCATGATGCCTGAGCCCATCACCAGACAAAAGCCTTGGAGACACATTTCTACTAATGACCCATGCTTTCTACAATATGGTTAATTTCACCCTTGTGGTCACAAAGAGTTAATGTCCTTTGATCCTATGGTGTTAACGTGGGCACTGGAACAAATCAGATACCTTGAGGTTTCTAAGATGGGTATCTTACAAATCAACAATCTTATCTCTTAGAAGTTTTTGCTTCTTTCCTTCTTTCTTCCTTTAATTCTTTTCTTCCTTTCATCCTTCCCTATTCCTTCTTTTCTCACCCTTCCCCTGTCTTTTTCTCATTCCTTCCTTCCTTATTCCCTCCGCCCTCTCCCCGTGTCCCTCC